CCAACGTGGAAGCGACCGCGCATAACGCCGCAGGGAAAGCGGCCACCACGTGCAGCAAAGCGACGGTGAACACGACAACAAAAGCGGCCATAGACAGCCATGCCATGGGTAACACCACAAGCAAGAAATTCCCAGTCGAGGCGACCACAAAGCATACAATGAATACGTCCACACAGGACATAAGGATGAACATGGTAACGCAGAACCTCGTACATATTACGGTGCGACATGCACGATTCCACGGAAAAGTAAATAGTGGAAACCACCCTGGACAACATTATTTTGAAGACTGCCAGGTCGAGCACCAGCGAAGACTACATGACAGCAACTGTCATGATCCTCCCGAAAGTGATCGCCATGTCTGTGTCAGTCGGGATCGTCGTCATCGCATCGAAGCTCGCCGACGCCGTCGCCATGAACGCGATGGAGACGGCCGCCGCTGACCTCGAGCATTCTATCACCATGGCCGCAGAGACTCCCTGCCCCGCGAGACGCGCATCTGAACAATTCAAGGAACTTCACTTCCACCGCAGCATGTCCAGCAACCAGCAGACCGGAGAAAACCACGGTGAGCAGCAGACTGGAGAAAACCACGCCGTGGATAATGCCACGCAGGAACAGGGAGTGCACACGCGTGCTCTGGAAGCTCCCCTGTTCGCACAAGCTGTTCAGGTCCAGGTGCGTCATGGAGCACGAGCAGGCACGAGGCGGGAACGTGGAATACGTATGACCTCGCTTGGCAGCGTCTGGTCGGGCCCCATTGGGGCTCCTCCAGAAGCGGCATCACGCACGAGCAGAAAAAGGGAAGGATGAATCAAGGGAGAAAAAACACCCAGACCCGAGAATTGGCACTTACTATACAAATTTGGGCGTTCATTGAAAAGCCCTGCCCTGTTCGATCTCTTCTTTGGGCGCGTTTACTAAATGGTTTCGCGCGTCGGGGTGGTTATTATGGGGGGGATCTTTTCACCTCGAATGAAGGCGCGCATACAACACCGGGCACAGCTATCTGGCATACCGCAGAGATGGCCTTTGCAAGCCGAAGATAAACCAGAGAGTGCTACATCTACTACATACGCCGTGGAGGACACCATTCCGTAGACAGCCAGTGGGACGAGCACACCGATCCCACGCACATGAGCGGCCACAGCACGCGAACGACGTGAGCAAGGATGGCGAAAACCACTAGGATTGAAAAAGTGGATTGTATACATATATGCATATATGCATATGATCCTGCATGGCTAATTTGATAAGGGGCTTCCCCCCGCGGACGGGGTCCACAGTGGCCACGACAACACAAGAAGGCCCCCAGGAACGACCAAAAAAGGTTCAAGGGAGTGTCAGGAGCGGCTCCGAGACAGCCCCGAAAGGGCACAGGACGATTACAAAATAGTTCGGGAGCGCTCCAGATGAGCACAAGCCGCCGAAGAGCATGCGCAGATGGTTTCAAATGGCCGCAAGACGGTCCACGAAGCCCTTAGACGGTCTACAAGGCCCTGTGAGAGAGGCCCCCGAAGGCCAAGACCAATTGTTGTCTTCAGATTCCCCAAGAAGTTCTGACATCTAGTGGTGTTCATTTCTCTTCTGAGGAGCTGGGCTGGGCCCCGGTGTCGGATCCGCTGCCTTGTTGTCGCCGCCCCGTCGCCGCCTCGTCGCCGCACGTTTTTTGATTCCTGGTGTCGGGTCCGCCGCCGCGCTGTCGCCGTTTCCGCCCCGTCACCGCCTCGTCGCCGCCTGTCGTCTGGGCTCTGGTGTCGGGCCCGCCGCCTTGTTACCGGCATCGCCGCTTTGTCGCCGCCCCATCGCTGGCCCCCGGTGTCGGGTCCACCGTTTTGGTGTCGCCGTCGCCGCCCCGTCGCCGCTTCGTCGCCGCCCGTCGTCTGGGCCCTGGCGTTGGGTCTGCCCCCTTGTTGTCGCCGTCGCCGCCCCGTCGCCGCCTCGTCGCCCCCCGTCGTCTGGGCCCCAGTGTCGGGTCAGCCGCCTTGTTGTCGCCGTCGCCACCGCCCCGTCGCCGCTTCGTCGCAGTCCGTCGTCTGGGCCCTGGTGTCGGGTCCGCCGCCTTGTTGTCGGCATCGCCGCTCTATCGCCGCCCAGTCGCTGGCCCCCGGCGTCGGGTCCGCCGCCTTGCTGTCGCCATCGCCGCCCCATCGCCGCCTCGTCGCCGCCCGTCGTCTGGGCCCCGGTGTTGGGTCCGCCGCCTTGTTGTCGCCGTCGCCGCCCCGTCGCCGCCTCGTCGCCGCCCGTCGTCTGGGCCCTGGCGTCGGGGCCGCCGCCTTGTTGTCGCTGTCGCCGCCCCGTCGTTTTGAATCACAAAAATTGTTCCACATATATCGCACAACATATGTTGCACCACGTCGACTGCACCACGTAGATTGCACCACATTGATTCCACAAAATAGAGTGCACAACATAGATCGTTCCACGTAGGTTGTACAACAAATAATGTACCACATTGATTGCACCACATATGTTGCACAACCGAATGGACCACACACAACAAATATTTGCCGCTCCAAAATAATCAAGATCAACCACCCCCGAGGTCGGGGATATCGATCAACCCTGAAGCTGTGCAATGTACATATGATTCTGCCCAAATGTTCACTCGAAGTTTGAATTCGTAATATCCCAGCTAGAACGGGCTCCCTCCCATCACCTTCGTCAAATAATACTACGCGCGCACACCCATCGAAGACCATCTATTCGTAATCACATATCCAACCAGAAACGAGCAAAACAATAACAAAAACGCTTCGTCACACGCGCATGCCGAACTTTTTCAAAAACCATCGGTTTCGTCACATGTCAGTTCGGGAATTTCGAAAACGTGTATGAAAAAACGCGTGGTTGGATCATGCTTTGCAGCCGAATTCCCCAAACACCAAAAACATGCTCGCGTTCTTGTTAATTCTGAAGACAACTACTCCTGTTCAACATGTTCATCCATTCAAACCACTCGGGCCTCTCGCGGGCGCGTGGTCCAAATCACTCGAACACCCTTGCGCGCATGTTGGGGGAGCAGGACCCCTGTCAAATAATTCCATGCGGGCTTCTCGCGCCCGTAGGCCGCGCGCGCATGTCGAAATGTGTCCTAGACTGTGACGCGTGGGCACCATCATCGTCATTGGCGTGACAAGGATCGGCGCCGTCATTGGGGTTGCCGTCGTCATCGTCGTTGTCGTCGTCACCAGCACCGCTACAATCATCATCGTGTCCGCCGTTGTCGACGTCGCCTTCATACCGCACCCGCCCGGGTCACCGACTCGCACCGAAGTGCCCGCGCGTCTGTGGGCCTACGAGACGCGCTGGGAAGTGCCCAGTGGCCAGTGCCACCGCGGTCGCGTCGATCGCGCCAGACGAGCCGGCCGCTCTACGCGCGAGCCTGCACGCGCTAGCATGGCCGCAGCAACGCGCCAGCCAGCGCCAAGCAGTTATGGCAATCGCCGCCGCATGCGTTTTGCTGACCAAGTTGCGGGTGGGTGGGTGGGATGGTTGCGCGAGCAGTGGAGTTGACAGTTCAAGTTCGGCAGGGCGAATTGCATGACATAAATTGCATCGCGTAGGTTGCACAACATAGCTTGCACCATAAACTTTGTACAACATAGACTGTACGACATAAGTTGCTCCACATAGGTTGCGCGACATAGGTTGTGCAACCTAGATTTCAGCACATAGGTTTCGCCACACATGTTGCACCACGTAGGTTGCAGAACATAGACTGCACCACCTAGACTGCGCAAAATTGATTGCACCACCTATATCGCACAACATAGATTGCTCCATATAGATGGTATTACATCCATTGTACAGCATCAATCGCAATAGACACATCGTTTGGGGCCCACGCTGGTTAACATGCTTCAAAGATTATTGGCGTCCCTCCTTGGTGGGTTCGCCACGGCCCACGATGGGTCTCGCTGGCCTAAGCTGCCCCAAGAGAGCCCCAAAACAGCCCGAGGCCACCACACTCCAGGCCAAAACTCCACAAGACAGCCCAATATGGACCCAGGACGGTCAAGAGTGACCCAAGAATGACCCAAAAGAGCCCCAAAGAGGCTTCGACTGTCCAAGAAAGCCCCCAGGACGGGGTGACAAGGCCCGAAGAGGGCGTCCAGACAGCTCCAAGACGGCGCGAAAACCCTCCAAAAAGGGGTCCGACATGCTTGCACCAACACCGAACAATCAGTTATTTGAACAGTTCCTCTTCGTTTCCATGTTTTTGACTCTGCTGGCTCTCGAGGGCTCCCGAAATCGTAGAGGAGGCCGCCCACATCGCTCCGCACAGTCCTGGAAGTCCCGCGCAGATTGCGAGCGTGCCGCGAGGGTGCGAGAGCCCCCCCTCCCCGCCCAGCGCGGGCGCCCCCACTGCACGGGACATATCACCGCTATGATGACCCGCGACGGGTTGCACGCAGACACATCTTCGCGCGCGCGTCGTGCGCGCGTTTCTCGCCTCCAAACGGCTACCCGCAGCGCGCGGGCCCCAGGCGCGCCCTCGTCGGGAGTCGCGCGCGCATGTTTGCACGCTCGTGCGCGCATGTGCTTGCGCGCGTGCATGCACGCGTGTACTTCTGGCGCCTGCCCCGCCTTGTATATTCCTCGCCTCTTGTCTACGATCCCGCCCTCGCCCTTGCGCCCTCGGCCGCTGGTGCCTGCTCCCGTTAGTCGGTCGCCCTTCCGCTTTCCGTCTTTGGCTCTTGGCCCGCTGTCCCGCCCCAAGATTTCCTCCCTTGTCTCTTGCTGCTTCGGCCGCCCTTCTCCTGTTCCTTCCATCCTCTTCGGTTGCATGTGTACGCGCGCGCACCCGGCCATCGCCCCACCGTTGCCCCGATGCCGCAGAGCGAGGGATAAGCGCGCGTGCGCGCGCACGTGGGTCTGGGGCTGGGCGCGGGCGGGTAGCAGGGAATGGGGGGGACGCGGGCGTGCATGCGCGATGGTGGTGGCGCGGGGGATAGATATTGGGCGTGCGCGAAGTGTTTGTGATATTTGTTGCGCGTTGCAGGTTGCATTGTGCATTGCGCGTGGGCATATTGCTGTTGTGGGTAGCAACTTGTGTCGTGTGATGTCGTGTGTTGTTTCTGTTGTTCATGCACTCAGTCGTCGTGTGTTGTGCATGTCGCGTGGGTTGCGTGTGTTGTGTAATTGCGCCATGTGCACATGCATTGTGCAAGCTGTTGTGCATGGTGTGTGACGTTTGATGCGCGGATTGTGATGCGTTTCGTGTGGCGTGTATGCGTGCACGCGTGGTGCGTGTGTGTGATTCATGTCGGCGGCGAGCGAGGGGGGCAGTGAGAAGGAGAAAGCCTTCTCAGAAGGCGGTGGGACTTCTCAGAAGCCCTCGCGCTTTCTGAGAAGTGTTCTATGACGTTGGGGAAGGCTCAAAAAACTTCTCAGAAGGCCGGGGGACTTCCGAGCCTTCTGAGAAGGCCTTCTCCTTCTCAATTCCCCCCCTCGCTCGCCGCCAACTATGGGTCGGGGTGTGGCTTTCGTGTTTATCCGTATGTGCACCAGCGCTTGCTCTTCGATCCTTCAGGTGGTGACGCAGCGGTGGCCGACGCCTTGGCGGTGACCACCAGCGCCTGCGGGGCGTCCAGCCGTTGGCAGGCGGCGCTGGCTCTGCTCGCGAGGGCCTGCCGCTGCTCGGCGGCGCCTGGCTCGCACGCCCTGCTCGGCGCGCTGCACACGCTGGAGGCCACGGGCGCCGGCGCGCGAGCGCCCGCGCTGCTGGCGCAGGCCGTGGCGGCCTTGGCCGCGCGGCGGGAGCCCCCGGGGCTGGCTGCGCTGGCCGCGGACCAGCTGCGCGCCCGCTGTGCCGGGCGGCCCGCGTTCGCGGCGAGGCGCGCCCTGCGGCGCGGCTTTGTCGGGGCCCAAACACATACACACCCACACACACCCACCACCACCTACCTCGCCCCCTCCTTCCCCCAGGAAAGAGGACAGGAACAGGAGGGCAGAGGAGGGAGGAGGAATCGACGTGGTGGTGGTGTATATTCTTGGGGCCCGCAGCTTCGGCGCACCGCTGCTGCGGCGGGTGCGGGCTGCTGGCGGCGGGCCAGCCGGTGCCCCAGCGCCTCCTGCGGCGAGCGCGCTTCGGGAGCTCTGGAGGCGCCCGTCTCGATTTCCCAGCTATATCCGACCGCAACCTTTACTATGCCACTTAACACTGCCGCTCCCAGCTGGGATTTGCCATGTCGGCAGCCAGTCGATCGGCGTTTGTCTGACCGGTGTTTGCTTGGTTCTTCGTTCTTCCCCCAAGCGGCGCTTGCACTCGTAATGGAATGGCCTGCGATTCTGGGGTTTTGCCCAGTGCCTGCCTAGTGGCCTTTCCGTGCGCTGGCTGGGCCCAATACTTCCCGGCTTCAAACGCGTATGTCCCGTGGCCCCTAATTTGACTCGCCCCTTCAAGGGAGATCTCGCTTCCGCTTCCATTAACAACTGCGGACATTTGCGGGGCTGAACAAACCAAGGGCCCGAGCAAACCAGTCAAGGATAGAGCGACCGAAATCCTGAGACAAAGCTCGCAACAGGAAGTTCCTTGCCACAGACTGCGAGTACGATGGTCTCGCGAACGCGCACGCACCCACGTACGCGCGCGCGGCATCTCCCTCACAACATGCACATACACACTTCGCGCAGCGCCACAGGAGATGATCCAAACATCGCCCGCAAATGCCCTTCTGCGCCACTGTCTCGAGCCAGATCCAACCGCCTCGGCGAGAGTTCCCATGAAGGGTCAAAAGAGATGTTTGCAAGCGCGAACCCCAAACAGTGGATTCTTGCATTCTCGATATGTACACTATTTGGCATCGCTCGGACGTGTGCATTTTTTCCTCGGGGAGGACCATCGAGGAGCATCCTGGATCATCGAGCCAAACAAACACGCACGAAACCGAAAAATGCACGGGGAGTGGACGTCCGAGCGATGGCGCGACTATGCGTTGCAGCATACGGGACGCAACGTGGTGCAATCACAGCGGTGCGACCTTTGGGCTGCAAGCTACGTAGTCCAAGCAGTTGGGTACAGCATATGCGGTGCAATCTCAGGTGTGCAATAGATGTGGTGCATCTGTGTCGCGCAAGTTAGAGAATATAATCAACGTTGCGCAATACACATGGGTTCCAAGCTACCGTACATCGACAAAATGTTGCACCACGTTTGCTGTGCATTGGCACCTGTACTGCGCTGCTCTTGCCTCCCCCCTCCCCCCGATCTTAATATTGGGTGCATGGCGCAGAGCCTCTGTTCCGCCTGGGGGCTACCGACAAAATGTTGCACCACCGAGCTGTTTCGACCAGCCCGGACCGAACCCGGAGGGGAGGGGGGAGGGGAAACAAACGATGGATATAACAGCGATGCGGTTTATTGTCAGTGCCAGGTGGTGCAACATTTTGTCGATGCACCGTATGTTGTGCAATCCATATCTGGGGCACGAGCCGTTCGGTGCCTCCCGAAAAGCCGGCCAGCGCGCGAGGCGGGCATTGGCGGGCGAAGACCCAGAAACGCCGGCTGCCGCACGGGGAAAGAGAAGAAAGCGGGCGCTGGCGGGCCGTGGGCGACAGCCCGGAAAGGTAGGTGAGTTAGAATGGTTACGGATCTCAGCGGGACAGTAGGTGGACAATATATTCGAACCCTTACACACTCGAGGGAGATTCTAAATCACCCCCGCGCCCCCGACATCAATGTTGATCTCAGTGAAGGCGGTGCTCTGTGGTTCGAATACGTCTGTCCACTCACGCCCCCCCCGTCGCCACGCCATCAATATTGATTTCGGGGGGTCTGGGGGGCATCTTGGGCCACAGGGTTCGAACATAATGTCCATGTACGGGATTACCCCGATCCATGATTTGGCATGTGTATGTCGTGCGTGGGGGAGGCCTTCCGAGGCAATTTAGAGGCTAATTCTGCCCAGTGTGTGTGCCCTTTTGGGTCCTTGTCCGGCCGTCTTGGAGGCTCTGTGTGCATCCAGGAGCCTCTAGAAGCCAAGGAAAGCTTTGGGAGGACCCCCCGATAGATCTTGGGAGTCTCCGGAGGGCCCAAGGCGGCTCAGCCCCAAGTTGGCCCATGTGGGCACCGAGAGAGCCGTTCCCTTACAATCAGGTGACTACTGTTGCGAGTGAAAGAACTTGATTGCTTGCAGACACGCACACACACACACACGCACGCACGCACGCACGCACGCACGCACGTACGAACACACAAACACACACACACACACACACACATATGCACGCACGCTTTTGGCGTCGCGGCCGCGCGCGTAGCGGCGCGAGGAAGTAAAGATCGGGCGGAGCGAGACGCGCGCTGGCCGGCCCAGATCACGCAGCGTGGAGATCTTGGATCCACCCATAGGGGAGGAGAGACACGCACGCGCCCGCGCACACGCACACGCACGCACGCGCACGCGCACGCGCACGCGTACACGCGCACGCACACCCGCACGCGCACTCGCACGCACGCGCGCACGAACACGCACACGCATGCGAACTCCCTTTTTTGGGGGGGGGTCGGCGGGGCGAGAGCGAACCTCTTCCGCTAAGACACCCACGCGCACGAACACGTTCACGCGCACGCACGCGCAAGCGCACGCGCATGCGCTCAGGATCGGGCTCGGGCTCGGGCCCAGGCTCGGGCCCAGGCTCGGGCTTGGGCTCGGGCTCCGGCTCGGGCTCTCGCTCGGGCTCGGGCTCGCTCGGGCACGCGGGCGCGTGCGCACGCGCGCTCGGACTGCCCCCGTTTGCGAGCGAGGCGTAATGACAATTCTAGGACCCTCCCCTCCCCCGTGCCCCGTCCCATCCCCCACCCCCCGCCCTGTTTATATTCTTACAGCTCTTATCAGGGTGGGGTCCCAGCACCCGCTCTGTTGCGAAGGACACTGGTTCTGGCAGATTATGCTGACAAGAAGGGTGGGCTCCAGCACCCAATTCTTACGAGGGGCACTGGTTCCAGCAACCCACGCCGTGGGCTGCAGCACCCAACTTTGACGAGGGAAAGTCGCTCCAGCAGATTATGCCGACAAGAAGGGCGGGCTCCATCATTGCATTTTTACCGAGCGCGAGCGTTGCAGCAGCCAACGGCCTGGGCTCCAGCACCCAAGTTTCAAGAAGGAAAGTGGTTCCAGCAACCCACGGCGTTGGCTCCAGGACTGCATCTGTATTGAGCGCGAGCGCTCCAGCAGCCCAGGGTATTGTTTCCAGCCTCCAGCACTGCACTTGTATTAAGCGCGGCTTTAATCGCGCCCCAGGCACGAGCCCACCTACAGTTCGTCAAAATTTCAGCAGCAAAATACGTACATAATCTTAGACACGCCAAGACGAGATAAGGAGCCTCCAAAGCGGCCTAAAAGAGCCCCAAGAGAGCCGGGGAGGCTGCAAAAGCGCACGAGTGGCCCCAAAAGAGGCCCCCAAAGAGCGAAGGGAGGCCCACGCGACAGCAAGCATCAGCACGCAGAATCAACGTCTGCAGCAGCGCTTCCCGCTACGGCCAGACCGAGGTATCAGATCAAGGTCGGTTCGGAGAGGGTATCCTAATGTTCTTCGTGTTTGTTGGATGTGTTTGTGTATCCAGGGGAGGGTATCCTTGGACGTTCCGTGTGCTTTGGCCGGTGGGGGTCTCGTGTTCTTGAAGGATATGATTGCGTATGTCTTTGGTCCGGCTATATGACGTAAATAATTATTTTATACAGGGTGTCTAGAGCTCCGACCATTTTATTCCGCGTCGCACACACACACACACACACACACACACACACACACACACACACACCACACCGTCCCCAGCGCCAGAGTGGGACCCCCTCGCCGTGGCTCTCTGCCCCGAGCCCCCTCGCGTCCCCAGCGCCCCAGCGGGAGCCCCGCCCACTGCCCCCTCCGCCACGAACGCTTTATTCCGCGTCGCCCCCCACCCACCCCCGCGTCCCCAGCGCCAGAGTGGGACCCCCGCGCCGTGGCTCTCTGCCCCGAGCCCCCCCACATCCCCAGCGCCCCAGCGGGGGCCCCGCCCCACCCCCCCCCCGCCACGAATGCTTCATTCCGCGTCGCCCCCCCCCCCCCCCCCCCCGCGTCCCCAGCGCCAGAGTGGGACCCCCGCGCCGTGGCTCTCTGCCCCGAGCCCCCCCGCGTCCCCAGCGCCCCAGCGGGAGCCCCGCCCACTGCCCCCTCCGCCACGAACGCTTTATTCCGCGTCGCGACGCACACCACCTCCCCCACCTCCCCGCGTCCCCAGCGCCCCAGTGGGGGCTCCGCCCCGTGCCCCCTCCGCCCCGACAATGTTATTCCGCGTCGCGACGCACACCACCTCCCCCCCCCCCCCGTCCCCAGCGCCCCAGTTGGACCCCCGCCCCGTGGCCTCTGCCCCAAGCCCCGCCCAATGCCCCCTCCGCCCCGACCATTTTATTCCGCGTCGCGACGCACACCACCTCTCCCCCCCCTTCCTCTCCGCGCCCCCAGCGCCCCAGTGGGACCTCCGCCCCGTGCCCCGTCCGCTCCGAGCTCTTTGTTCCGCGTCGCGACGCACGCCACCCCCCCCCCCCTTCCCCACCTGGGATTTGGGCCCCGTTGCTGGGCCCCGAGGGGCGATGTCTTGCCCCCTCTTCCCCCCTCCTCCTCCACCTCCTCCTCCTCCTCCCCCTTTCTTTTTGTGCAAGAGCTATGGCACACGTGCCACTTGTTAAGTAGGTTGTGCGAGGGTTCGTGGCTTGGGGAGTGTGGATTGATATCATGTTATTAGGAGTCGTGGCTGTGTGAAAGCGGACCCACGGCACTTTACGTGGGGTCGTGGCCTGGGAAGGCGGACATCATTACATTATGCAGAGGCCTTTGACTTGGGGAGCACGGATGTACTTCTATTCACAAAGGTCGTACGGTAGGTTCATGCGGCGTTGGCGCGCTGGCGACGCCGGCGAAGGCGTTCAAGGTTGAATTCTGTGACGCGGGATCATCGAGGGATTCCGTAACGCCACTGGACCCGACGGAATTCAACCTTGCACGATCGGGGCCACGATCATTGATTCAAGATTGTCTATCTAAGATCTTTCTCGTCACGGCCAGCTTGTCGTCGTTTTTGGTTGTGCCCCTGGAGGTCCTTGCCCGACCCGGTTTCGTCGAAAGACGGCTTCGGCGATGCTGATTTGGATCCAGTTGATTCAAGATTGAACGATCGACGCGGTGTCAAAAACTTGTGCGCGCGTCGACGCCGCGCGAACCTGCCGTAGCCTCGGGAGCTCGCATCCGTCCTATAACAAGAGGGATCATGGCATTTGGAGCACCGGCTATTCCTTTTTCGTGTTTCATGGGTCGCGTTTTTGTCAGCGTGGACGCATTGCATCTTACGTGATTGCGTCGTGACTCTGGGAGCACGGATATGTTGATCTTACGAGGAATCGTGGCCCTAGGAGCGCAGACTCTTTCATGAGGGGCCGTGGCGTTGGGAGCGCCATTCCAATGAATGTTGGCAGGAGTCGTGGCCCTCGGGGCATGGATCCATTCTATTCAGTCAGGGCTCGCAGCTATGGGAACGCGGATCCATCGCATTTCACGAGGTGCCCTGGTCCTTGGAGCGCAGATCCGTCTGCTGCTCCACAGGGTCGTGGCCTTGGGAACCAAGGCCCGTGGCATATGTCCTAAAATCTTGGCTCTGGGAGCGCGGGCCCATTTGTTCGTGGCGAGTCCTAGGTCCGGAGCGGCTCGGGAGCGGTGAACGGTTTTTGGGGGTTTGGGGAGGTCGTGCACGTTCCAGGCAGTTGAAGAAGTTGGGTTCTGACGCCCTGAGCTCGAAATAAGTTCTACATAAGTCGTTCACACTGAGATCCTCAGTTGCTAAGTTGCCCAGGTGCTCTTCTGTTGCCAGGCTGCTAGGAGCCAGGCTGCATTGTTGCATTGATTTTTGTTCGCGCACCCACAGGGGCCCCGCAGATGTCTTCTTCTGCAGCACGCTAAACTATATCGTTGTGTGCTGCATTGCAGCATATTGCAGGGGTGTTCCGTTCCACATGAGTTATATACACTTGTTTTATGTGTGTGCATCTATACACATGTACAAACAAACACATATATCATCTTGCCTTCTGCCCATCGCCCCACTGTGCCTTGCTTGCGGATGCAGGGCGCAATGGAAACACGGGTCGGAATACTGCAGTTTCTTTGGATGTGAGTATGGTGGTGCCTACTTGGTCGCCCCTTGGGAACCTACTGGTGGTTTCTTGGGAACCTCCTTGTGGCCTCTTGAGGGCCTGTTGAGGATCTCTGAGGCAGATTCACAAACGTGTCCTTGACAATTCGTCAGAGATTCTCCACGTGCACCCCTCTTGGGACCGACTTGGGGGCCTCTTGGGCCCCTCTGTGGGGCCTCGGAGCCGTCTTGGGGCGATGTTGGGGGTGCCTGTGGCCGTTTTGGACGCTCCCAGGGCCGACAAGAGAGCCCCGTGCCTTGCGGCCATCTTGGCGTATGTTAGACGTCTGGCTTTCAGCCACCATTCCGAGGCCTCGGGGAAGTCACGCGGGAGCATCTCGAGTACGTACGGAAGCGTTCCGCAATGCCCGCGTGGTCAGCGTATGCTTCTGAAAATTGAATATTCCTTTCAAGATGCTACGTAATCTGGATGAAAGTTAGAGGCCATGCGTTGCATCTGTCGGTTGTGCTTTAGATTGCGCGTATGGGCTCCCGAATGGTTGTCGTGGCTATATATTGTATCGACGGGATGCGGTATAGGCTGCCCGCAATTGTTCCCGAGGAATGCTTGTGGCAATAAGTTGCGCACATGGGTTACGCCATAGGCTGCACGTATGGATTCCAAGGATATTTGGTGGCCACAGGTTGCACCCGAAGGCTGTCAGGGGGTTGTGCGGCCATAGGTCGCGCGCACGGGCTGCACCATGTATTGTATCGCATGGAGATGCATTGTACTGCATATTTTCATGTGTTCACTTTTTCGGAACGCTTCGAATTGCGGTGCACCGCTTGGCGTTGCGGCTTCATGTGTTGTTTGATGTTGCATTGAATGTTCATGCATTTATTGGCAAGGTTACAATTTTGCTTTCGCTGGTTCGCAGGTGAGGGCCCATAATGAGATCATATTAGTGCTCCACTTGCGCCCAGCGTGCCACGTGCTCCGGCCGCGCTGGGTGCGCGACGCGCGCAGAGCGTGCCAGGTGCGCCGGTGCGCGTGACAGCACACATGTGGAAACACGTAGGTCCCCCACCACCGTCCCCAAATGGCGGCGGAGGGGCCATCCTAGTGCACGGCGTGTGTACCCGCGAGCACTTTGCACAGGCTTTAGATAGGGGTAGTTGGACGGCGCACGTTGGGCAATCTGCCGACCCCTCCGTCTTTCCTGTCAAAAAGGTGATCGCCAGGAGCCCGCGCTTGGCACCCGAAGGGTGCATGTTGTATTGTGATTTGACAGGGAGGGTGGCGGGGACATGGCTTTGGGTCGGCGGCCAGTCGAGTGGGGGAGGAGTGCTTGGCAATAGGGAGTAAAGATACACCCTTCCTCGAAGTGGAAGGGCGGAGTTGGAAGAGGAGACGTGTTAAACCACCTCCGCCCGTCGGGCTGTTCAAGAATCGTGACGACCTGACGACACTCCACTCAGTGCCTGCGGCACGGTGGCGGGTACGTATCGCATCGCAGTACGTTACATCACGTTTCGCTGCGCGCATGGCATAACACTGGCAATCACGCAGCAATGCATTGTCAGAGAAATTGCATGAAGGCAGACCGAACTTTCATGCGTAAGTACGCGAGCACCTGCATGTATGCATATATGTATGCTTTTTCCACGTGAACCGGGAGGCACCATCACTTCTAGTTCTTGCTTCTGTTCCGTCAGGCCTTGGGAGGTTGAGACCAGGTGCGTCTTCTGTGGCTCCTTCGACCATTCCTTGGGGTGGGGACATCTGGCTGCGCGGGACGCGTTGCAAGATCTGTTCGTGGCGCGCAGGGGGAGCGATCAAAAAAGAATAGTGAAGCAGCCGATGTCTTCATCATCGTCGCCGAGTGGGCTTCCAGCGCAGAGTCTCTGATACGACCTCGCCTCGAGTTGACGATCAGACGGTCGCCAGCATAGATATGGAGTTGCCCTGTTCTGCTACCTCATATGTATAGGGTTTAGTAAACTTGATTGCTTCGTGTATGGAGAACACATGCGTTCAGGCCAGGACGTCATCATAGTGGTAGTACTACACAGGCGTAAGTCCATGCTTGACGGTTTTACTGTTGTACATGCCAAGGTGTGTTCAGACTGTGCCCAGGCGCCCGAGAGCCGTCGCATGTGACATCCACCAGAGCATGGCCCACGATGGCCGCGCCATGCTTGCGCCGATGGGACAGCGCGCTGCGATCGCGGCAACTTGGGGAAGGCGGCGGCTTAAAATTCTGGCACGGCACGCGTGCGATGCCGCGCACCCTTCCTTCATATTATATAGTCTTCGTATTATATAGTCATATCCCTCCGTCATACTATGTAGTCCGAATCCCTCTTCCGAGGCCGCTCGGATTCCCTTCCTTCATATTATATAGTCCGAAGTCTCCGCGGGCCTCCGAATCACCCGCGTTCTAGTCTGTTTGACAAGGAGGGTGGGCCTCCAGAGTTCCGAGGCCGGCTTCCGAGGGCTTCTTGATCGTCGCCGCATGTCGGTCGCGCATGGTATTTGCTGTCAGGTATGATGGACCTCCGGGTGTCAGAAAACGGCCACGTCGACAGTTCCGGATTCGCAGAAAGGGGTAGGCCAAGAAACAGAGAACAGAGTGTCACGTTCGACTTACCCCTATTCTGTAATGTCGCGCGCCGCCACGCTGGCACCATGGTCGCACTTATGGAACTGATACCAAATTTATTACAGATGGGGACGTTGCTTTTTGCTGTCTGGTTGAAGTTACGCAGGTGTGTTTGGGGCATGCATGCGGCGGGTCATGTCGGTGAATTGGTTGGGGATACATCGAACATGTTCAAATAGCAATCTCTTGTACAAGCAACAATCTCTAGCGAGGATGATTGTGCGA